GCGTCGGAAATGCCTGCACAGGCCGTCGGTCAGGCGCGTCTGGAGGTCTGATGGCCGGAGAGGGGTCAAACTCTGTTTTGGTCCGGTAGCCCCTTTCATGTCCGAGTTCAGTAGGGTTTTGAAGAATCTGTGGCGTGAGGCCGGTAGGATGTTGTTCTGCTGTCTTCTCGCCGTCACCGGCGTCGACAGGAAGGGAGGGTTGCTGGGTAATGGGTGGCTGGGTAAGTGGTGGTGGGGTGTTTTTGGATTTTGGGAGGAGGGCTCCATACGGGACCTCAGAGAGCCAGATCTTTTTACTTCTTTTCTTCTACTCCCGTAGTAAGGCCATGAGAAGACACTTGACTGTAATATGAATTCCATTTCTATAATTATTATGAATACAAACCTACGGAAGAATAAAATAGGTTATTCTTTAAAGGAAATTGTGATCGAAAATGATGCAAAGAGAGACTGAGATGGATTGAGCACGTAGTAATACATAGAATAAATGTCTATATCAGATATTGTGATGGCATATACATTTTATAGCTCAATTTTGTAACGGAAACGAAAAGGTAGAAATTTTTTTGACACATTCTTGTAGGGAGGAAATCCATTGCATTATATTTTATTGAATTTCACAACTTACGTTATTTTTCTAACACAAATTTCCAGTATTAATTGTATTAAGGTTTGTTGTTCAAGTAGGGGATCGAAGAGTGGACTTGATGGAAAGAGGAAAAGTGAAATAAACAAGTTCTTACGTGAACATGGAGGTTATTTTCATTATTATATGCCATCACAGAATTAATTATTTTATTTTACTTATGATTTTTTAGATGCAATTAGCGTTAAGTAATTAGTTCTGAAATTTTTTTTGTAGAATCTCTTATGCATTAACTATCTTTAGTTTTCTTGGAATTTAACAACAAAGCTTGCCTATTTTAAAAAATGTTTGCTAGATTAGGCAGTCCTGAATTCACTTACTAAAGCGAAAATTAAGTGACTTGAGTATAAACTTAGAATATGAAAATGACACAATAACGAGTGACCTCTCATCCTTTTTGAACCACATCAAAACTAGCCAATACTAATAGATTTTTCTACAATAGTATTTTATTTTTTTTTGAATAAGACATTATGAGTACATTGATTAATCGATTTAAAAAAAAAAACTACTCAACAACCTTTCATCAAACCCAGACAAAATCCTGAAAGAAGCAAATGTAAAATCATCCAAACCCAGTAAATATTAAAATTTCTCTATAACATCCTCCAATTCTCACTGTTTTTCTACCATTGTGTAATCTCCCTATAAATACAACATCTATAGACCTTTCACACCCCATCTCATAATTCATTTTCGGAGAACATCTTTCCAAAACTGAAGTGTATCTCCTTTTCGATTTCTTCTTACCTCAACGAAAGACACTCATCCTTCCCTTCCAGCTTATCAATCACATTCTTCTCCTGAGACTAGCAAAACTATGAAAAAAACACCTCGGATTTGCATCTGCCTCCACCCATTATTTTCTGTCACCAAGAAATTAGATACTGAAGCACAATCTCTTCAAGCATATTATTAATGTTAATACCCTTCCACTAAAACATCAAAGGGAAATCTGATGACTTGCTTTGTTCAGATCTAATTCGGTTGTACAGTCCTGGGACACGCATGGGGTGAAGGATCATGATACTTTTTTGAGTAAAATTTATTTACTTTTGATAACAAAGAAGTATTAATATGTAAATACAATAAATGTATGAAGCAACGAAATTGACGTGGTCAGCTTCTTCAAGTAAACTAAGGTTTATAAGCATTAGGTGCCAAATTCGAATTTATACACCTGAAATTTTGAATCTTTTAACTGCATGAGTTGAGAAAGTTAAAATGCCCAGACCATCAGTAAGTTCAAATTTTAGACATCTAGAC